GTAATAATAGTAATCAAAGTTTAATGTCTTTTACGAGGGGCATGGTTACCCATATTGCCCAAGCCAGAGGCTCGTGCATGAAACGCAAGACACCAACCCACCCATCCCACCCCAGGGGAGGACATCCATCACACAGTAATCTCGTGCATGGGAAATTAACGTCTCCTACCCCTAACCCTGCAGGAGTCGGGACCTCCATTTATTCGTCCCTATCCGAGAAGACTAGAATATCTAAACCATTTCTTGATGTTATAAAAAGGCAGCATATTTTTCTCAATTATTTTAAGACCTTGAGTGTTAGTCCGGCCGGGGCTCGAACCCTCGACTTCCCGCACATCAGTCCAGCGCTCTATCCATTGAGCTAACCGGGAGGCGGTTAAGTTGAATCTATATATGAGAAAAATTGAAAGAATTTTTAGTTGCCACCCTTTTCCTCGACCTCCCCCTCGGATCTTATCAAGAACAGTAAGCTAACAGTACGATCATGGGAACTCGAGCGGAAACTGTGGATATTTATTCAGTTGTGCATCGCTTAGGGTTCTCTCATTAACTTATATGGACCGAGTTTGGAAGAGCAATGTAATACGAAATGTTCTGCGGTAGGGTTTCAGCTACAACATGGCACGAGTCCGTGCGATGTTATCAGAGTCCAATGAATGTTACTTTTGTTAAGAGGGATTTTATGTAGAGATACGTTTTCACGTTTGACTGTTGAAAATGATATTCTAACGGAAGACGGCTATCTTGTTCTTGGCCATTTGAGGTTGACGTGAAAGCTGAGATTCAAGGATCTTAAGAGCAGTTCATCTTCTTTAAGCCTGCCTCAGTGCTTAAGGCACCACGGGGAATTGGAGACGGCTAACATTCCAAGGGTTTTCTTGCAATAACTTTGCTGTTGTAGTATTTTTCCTTAGTTCGACTTTCCAAATTTGTAATATTCTCGTTAGGGAACGGGGTGTTTGGGTTTAGGTCTTAGGAGGAAAAAAAATATATGACCTCATGACTTTGATACGACTTTGAGCGAATTAGTCGGATATAAAATCTGCTTTCCATTTCATCTTGCAACTGAGTTTGCTTATCAAAATTTCACCATAGGAAGTTCTTAAAATTGCAGTGAAAAGTTGCTTAAGAACTGTTTCCAAATGAAGGATTTCTGTGCGTTCGTTCTACGTTGAAATATTCAAGTTTCCAATTTCAATTAAGGCACCAAGTTACTAAGACAGCAGGTGTGGAGGAAATCTTGTTGTTAATTGTGCATATTGTGCATTTATTATCTTCGAGTACGTTACATGAGGAATCGAGAAGTTGTTTAAAAAATTCTTACCCAAATGGAAATGAGCTGCTGCCCTGTTGCTATAAAGCTTGGCGTTCAGCCGTATATCTTCGCAGTTCACTTGAAGTCCTTCCGTGTAGGCTTCTATCGCGTTCTCAACTTCCCCTTTTCTGTATTCTTTGTTACCCTCCTGGAGGAATACTTTGGCTACATCTGAAAACACACCAATTTAATATCAATTATTTAGTAAAGTACCCAAGGACCCTTGACGGATAATGCCAATAAAGAGCTTTTAGGTTGTAAGGAAGCTTAAGGCTCTGCAAAAAGAAAAATGATTGAGAAATCTATTGTAAGCTTTACCAAAAAGTTCTACGCTTTTAAAACACCGTGATGACTGGCTTGTGTCGTTGTTTGTAACTTCTTTGAGACAACTTGATTCTGACAGCCTGAACTTACAACTTCTATTTGCAGACGTTCAACCGTTGTCCTCTGCTCTGGGGATACCGATTTTGAGAATAAAACCTTCTTTTTCAAAGGGTTTACAGATAATTCAAAAACAAATCAGGCCGTTGAAATCAACATGAAATTCCACCGTTTTTATTCAGAAGTTTGAAAACCTAAACCTTTCTTTCCTATATAAGCTTTTTATTCTTCCTAAACAGTCGGCTACCATATATATAATCACAGACTCCTCGCCCTCGAGATTTAAGTGTTTTGCAAACGTCCACTCTAAGATGATGATTTGGATTACTTAAAATGGTCCCCTGTGCAATGAAATTCGGAAACTCTAAGCACACAGGGTTTGGAAGGACGCACGAACTACACTGAGACGCCTTTCAAAATATCTAATCTCTCACCTCTTAACGGATCATCATATACATTCAGTTTAGTGTCACTTGGCGTGACTTCACTTCCGTTTGTCGCTGAAATTTGATTATTTTATATAAACATTATTGATATTGTCAGAAAAACAGAAAAGATGTTGAAAGTAAACTTTACTAAGATGCATTATGCTTAATAAAAAACCTAATTAATCGTCCATGATGATTGCTCTTGCGACCGAGTTCGAATAGCGCTTGCTCAAAAACTAGTGTCCAGACTCTTTTTAAGCGTTAAGCGGATTCCCGCTGTACTTTCGTTCCCAGACTTCCCGATCCCCGTTTCCCGTTCCTGATTTTAGTAATTTTTACTTAAGATATTCTCAACTACTCCATGAAGAAACATTACAACCGCGTCAGAACTGCCATGTGGCAGTCAATTTCTATTACTTTCTCTCACCTGTGACAGGATACTCATCAGCCAAGTCAAGTTCCTCTCCCGTTGTTGGGAGGTTACTTTCCGCCATAGCTGAAAG